ACCATGGGGTGCCTGGATCTCATCATAACGACCGACCACAAGCCGCTTGTGAAAATCCACGGGGATCAGGCATTAGATGACATCACCAATCCAAGGCTCTTCAGACTGAAGCAGCGCACCCTCATGTGGCAGTACCGGATCCTGCACGTCCCCGGCAAGACCACCCCGGCAGCGGATGCAACATCACGGTACCCATCAGCCACAGATTCAAAGGACACAGCCAGCGAAATGTGCGCTCTGTCACCTGTCCGGGTCCCGGCGGGCACCCAAGGGGACCTGGAGACGCTCCTCGTGGCAGCAGCAAGATCATCAGCAGATTCTCTCGGCGCCGTCACATGGGAGAGAGTCGAGGAGTGCACCTCCGCAGACCATGACCTCCAGCTGCTCACACCACTAGCTGAGTTTGGGTTCCCACCATCCCAGAATGCCTTACCAGAGGAGCTGCAGCCATGTTGGCAGTACCGCGACAGGTTCTCTCTCATGGATGAAGTCGTCATGATGGACCACAGGATGGTGATACCACAGGGACTTTGGAATGAGGTCCTACAGACGCTTCACGCCGCTCACCAAGGCAGCAGTCGCATGCACAGTAGGGCAGTGGGCGCTATCTTTTGGCCAGGCATCACCAGAGACATGGAGAGCACACGTTCCAGGTGCCATGCCTGCTGGGGAATGTCACCCTCCCAGCCTCGTATGCCGCCTGTACCATGTGTGCCAAGCAACCCCTTCCAAGCCATCGCTGCTGACTTTTGCGTAGTGCGCGGCATTGGGTACCTAGTCATCGTGGACAGGTTCAGCGGCTGGCCACACATTGTCATGTCCAAGTCGGGTGCCAAGGGCTTCATCACGGCTCTTCTCAGTTACTTTGCAACATTTGGTGTTCCCGAAGAACTGAGCGTAGACGAAGGCCCGGAGTTCACCACAAAAGAAACTGAGTCACTCCTGTGACGATGGGGAGTGAGCCATCGCCGTTCATCGGCACACCACTCGTAGTCCAGCGGGTGGGCAGAGGTAGCCGTCAAATCTATGAAGCGCTTACTGACATCGCACACGGATGCAAACAGGAGTCCCCGATTCAGAGGCGGTGACCGCCGGCTTGCTTCAGTATCAAAACACGCCAGACCCTCAGATCAGTATGTCACCAGCACAAATCATCTTCGGCAAGAATCTTCGGGCTCTGCTACCCATTGCTCCGGGAATGCCGGTGTTCACCAACCCATTGATTCGCCCTGTGTGGCGTCAAACGTGGAGTATGCAAGAAGAGGCCCTCCGGCTAAGATTCGCCAAACAAATAGACGATCTACAGCACCACACTCGGCAGCTTATCCCCTTAGTGCCCGCAATCGAATGCTTCTGCAAAACCAAACTGGGAACCACAGTACGAGATGGGACAGGACCGCTGTGGTAGTGGAGTTGAAGCAGTACGACCAATATTTGGTCAAGTAGATGGCTCGGGACGGATTACTCTGTGCAATCGGCGGTTCCTGCGCCACATTCGGGCTGGTCAACGCCAACCAGCCTGTGCCACCACCATACCCTGTTCCCCCGCTCCCCACCCCCTACCCCCTACCCATGCCAGCATGTAGTGCGGCACAGAACAGTGAGCTGCCTCAGATATCCAGTGGCGATGCAGCGACCACACCCCCACAGTTGCACACACAGCAACAACCCCAAAGCCACCCATGGAGCACGCAGACCAGGCACAAGAGCCAGCACCCAGCCAGACCGTCGCACAAAACACGCCCGTATCGCCACCTCCAAGACCACGCAGAGACGTCCGCCAGCGTACCTACGGGATTGTCACGGAGTGATGAGTTTCCTTCTGGAAACTGCGGGAGGGGGGGGGGGGGGCAGGCTGGCAACACCGGGGTGCCGCCTGTAGGTGAGGGGGAGAAATGTGAGTGTAAACAGAGAGAGCGAGGCCGACGGAACACTTATTACCTCCCTGATGTGCGAGTTAATATTCACGTATTGTGCCGGGGAAGGCAATGCACACCCACTGTAGATTTCCCTCCATACTGTGCCAGTCAGTGATATATCAGGACGAAGAGGTACAACGTGTACTCAAACGTCAGGTTGTGCATCCTAATTTGTGTTCGTCTCTTTGCAGCTAGGAGCATTCATTATGTTGTACCTGAATAAAGGATTACCAACACACACCCGAATATCTCTTTGACCGCTACCTGAGAACTGAAATGTGTCTAGGGAATTTCATAGGAATGGTAACCTTAGGCTTGCAAAAGGCCTTTGATATGGTCAACCACAATGTATTATGCCGACAGCTTGTAGTTTCTTACACGAGTTCTGTAGAATGGTTTAAGTCCTACCTGAGCAACAGGAAACAAATTGTCAAGATCAACAACACAGAATTAGAACCTATGCCAATAACACGTGGGGCTCTTCAGGGTAGTATCCTGGCTTCTTTGCTATTCTTGTGTTATATGAATGACATGCTTGTCAGTGTGAAATGCAAGCTTCTGTTGTATGCAGATGATAGTGCTCTGTTTGTATCAGGTAAAGACCCACAAGACATTGCTAATGTACTATCATTAGAACTAGAGTCCTGTAGCAATGGTTGGTAGACAACAGATTATCACTACACCTCGGGGAAACAGAAGCCACATTCTTTGACACGAAACATAAATTAAAAAGGGTAACTAATTTTTATGTCCAGTGTAATGAGGAACCTATTATTACAGTTAATTCAGTAAAATATCTGGGGATACCCTTGGCCCCAAGCATGTCAGGAGAACTAATAAGGAGCAATATGGTAGTGAATGCCATACTTAAGTTTCTTTACAGACAGGTGCAGTGTCTACCCACCGAGGCTCGCAGGACCCTATGTCTAGCTCCGTGTATTATAGACTACTCTTGCTCTTCATGGTACTCTGCCTTAAAAAAAAAAAAAAAAAAAAAAAACTGAAAGATAGGCTACAAATTACCTACAACTAAATGGTGAGATTCATTCTGGACCTGGGTCCAAGAACATGTTGGCCAGGATGAATTACAACAACTGGACATTCTGAATATTGAAGACAGGGTAAATCAACTAAAGCTAAAGTACGTTTATAAAATTGTTCACAACCAGTGCACCCGATATCTTGCTGCCAGTTTTAAGGCCGGGAACCAATGCGGTTATAGAATTAGGGGGAAGAACAACTTTGCAGTACCTTGAGTCAGTGGTCAGGCTTCAGACATTTTTCTATGCAATAATAAGAGTGGAGTAGACTGCCTGCACTTGTCAAAGCCTGTCATTGCATGAGCCAGTTCAACAAGAGAATCAAAATGTACCTCATGAATAAGGCTACAGAAAGGGAGAAGAGTGATTTCTTGTATGAAAATAACTAATTTTACCTCGCCCTTAGTATGTCTTCTTTTATTGTAACTGCTTTTACATAGTTAACCCTCTCACTGTTGACTCGTGCTCACAAACTTGCTCTCAGTGTCGAAGAATTTAAAAAAAAAAAAATTATTATGAAATGGTAGAGAATCTTTTCCCAATGGTAATGATGCCAAAAGAATGAAATTTGTTGGAAAAATTACAGAATTACTCTTGCAAAGTTAGTGATCTTGGCGATATTTATGCATTGGTGATTTCGCTCACTTTGAGCCCTATTTTTGGCCAATTCCATTGTTCCAGTCGACCAGACTCGTAGCCATTTCGCTGGAACTCCATTTGTTCTAAGAGTACAAGAAACTTCCCATTTTCCAATTGCAACTACCCAATAAAGTGGTCAGAAATTGGCAGTTTGGCCAATTTCACACAAATTTCAAAAGTTGCCAATTTCAAAATAGGGTCCAGAATAAACAACGCAGACATTCCTGGCACTAAAATAACATTTTCTGTTCATTAGTCACATCTCCAGACCCCTCTTATATTACTCTTGCTTTCCATTTTGAACTTTTATTCACAAAAAATGTAAGATTTACTGTTATGCAGACTACTGCATTATTGTAATAATTGTATAAATAATGTCAGTCCATTTGTGACTACATGTTAGACCGGCCAGTTGGGCATGTATTGGGCAGTGATGTCGTTTGTTTACTCTTGAACATCGGCAAAAATCACATTTCCGCTACTTTGAGCTCAATTTCAAGGTACTTTTCATCATTAAACCGATTAAAATCATCTCTAATTCTGTAATATAGCTTCCATTCTAACAAATGAGACCAAGAAAATGAGAATACAACCATACATACCATACGAAAATACATTGCAAAGTTGCTGTTTTAAACCGATGACACGGTCGGAGTTTTTTTTTTTTCTCATTATGCACTGCGTTCTGCAGGATTTTCTTTTATACTGCACACACTGACCGCTCAGACCCATTCTCTCGTATGTAGGCCTACCAACTTTCTTCTGCAAGATTTGAAGCCGCTAGAATCTTGGATTAACATTACGGGACCGACACTGGCTTACAAGCTGTAATATTATAGGGCAGACAGAGTAAGGGTTAAGATACTTACCTGTTGTTAACTTTTAAATATAAATAACTATCACAAGGACCCCAGTGGAAATAAGTCACTGACTCTTTTTGGGTTATCCTAGGTTCTCTACACCATATGCTGCTATGTATGATAATCAGTGCAACTTTGTATTACCTGAATAAACTTACTTAAAGAGGGGGTGTATAAATTCAGGGTGGAAGGAAGGAGGGTTTTGGGGTTGTCCCAGGATGTGTTGGAGGGAGGATGTGAAGGAAGGTTTAAGCAGTAGATGCTTGAGCATCCAGCAGGCATATGTGAGCATGTTACATAAGGTGTACAAGATGCATTACAATAATTCGATTCCAGAATGCCTTACTCTTCAAGGTGGTAGCCTTGATGCTTAAAATTGTTTATTCTAAGAATTGAAACAGTCGTTTCCTTCCGTGAATCAAGCCTGATTAACTTTCGTTCACCCTGTACCAAGTTTGATTTTTTAATAATAATAATAATAATAATAATAATAATAATATAATAATAATAACAACAATAACAACAGTACTGTATATTTTCAGAAGTTGCAAGGCAAACCCTGAAGAAAGGATTGCTTCACTGATAACAGAATTAAGTGAAGAGTTCTGCAGCTTGTACACACAAGCCACAGAAGATTATACAGGTCCCAGTATAGAGTTTGCTAAGATGAGACTGCAAATGGGTCAGATGTTGTACTATACATTCTTGGAACACATCTTAGTGGATGAGAGAAGAAGAGGCATTGATCTCATGGTAAGCTTCTTGTCACCTCCACTGAGTTTAGAGAGAAAGCATTTTGTCACCTCCACTGGGTATAGAGCAAACGTCCATTCATCAGTGATAATCAACAATGCCATGTCTAGGATAAGCATGAAAAATAAAAAAAAAAATGAAAATGTTGATTTCCTTGTAAAGCTTACAATGTGTGGTTTACATATTACAAAATGTTAATGACAAAGAAAGCCACTAGCATGCCTATTCATTTTGGGCAGACTAATTCTAATTCTTACTGACTATAGTGACACAGGTTATGGAACAGTACATTTTAATGTTCATTATTGCATATTGATATAAAAGTTAGGTAATTAAAAAGTTTTATCACTAATAAGATTAATAATAGCAGTTTGGAGGGATATGTTGTGTATCTTTATACGTATATGCTTCTAAACTGTTTTATTCTGGGCACCTCTGCAAAAACAGTGATTGTGTGAGTGAGGTGAAAGTGTTGAATGATGATGAAAGTATTTTCTTTTTGGGGATTTTCTTTCTTTTTGGTTCACCCTGCCTCGGTGGGAGATGGCCGACGTTGAAAAAAAAAAAAAAGTTCAAAACATATTACAGTACAGTGGTCCCTCGTTTTTCGTAATTAATCCGTTCCTGGAAGTGTGACTATTATCAAAATTGATGATTTTCGAATCCATTTTCCCCATAAGAAACAATGTAAATCCAATTAATTCGTTCCAGACACTCAGAAGTATCAACAACAATTTTTTTTTTTTACATGCACAAAAAAATGAACATTCAACATGTCAGTTACCTTTATTGAAGACTGTTGTTGATGAATGGAAGACAGGGAGGAAACATAAGAAAGGAGGAGCACTGCAGCAGGCCTGTTGGCCCATACTCGACAGTTCCTTTACAATTCATCCCACTAACAAAACATTTGCCCAACCCAATTTTCAATGCTACCCAAAAAATAAGCTCTGATAACTCTATCCACTCATTTGCAAGTCCCACTCAAATCCAACCCCTCTCACTTGTGTATTTATTCAACCTAAATTTGATATTGATATTGGCAGTTTGGAGGGATATGTTGTGCATCTTTATACGTATATGCTTCTAAACTGTTGTATTCTGAGCACCTCTGCAAAAACAGTGATTATGTGTGACTGTGGTGAAAGTGTTGAATGATGATGAAAGCATTTTCTTTTTGGGGATTTTCTTTCTTTTTTGGGTCACCCTGCCTCGATGGGAGACGGCCAACTTGTTGAAAAAAAAAAAAAAAAATTGAAACTACCCAAAGTCCTACCCTCAATAACACAACAAGGTAGACTGTTCCACTCGACTACGCTATTTCCAAACCAATACTTTCCTATGTCCTTTCTAAATCTAAACTTGTCTAATTTAACCCTTTCAGGGTTTCGGCCATACTAGTACGGCTTACGCACCAGGGTTTTTGATGTACTAGTACGCCTAAATTCTAGCGCCCTCAAATCTAGTGAGAGAAAGCTGGTAGGCCTACATGTAAAGAATGGGTCTGTGGTCAGTGTGCACGGTATAAAAAAAAAATCCTGCAGCACACTGCGTAATGAGAAAAAAAAACTTTGACCGTATTTTTGGATTAAAACAGCGACTTTGCACTGTATTTTCGTATGGTACTTATTGTTGCATTCTAGTTTTCCTGGTCTCATTTTATAGAATGGAAGACATATTACAGAAATTGAGATGATTTTGACTGGTTTTACAAAGAAAAGTACCTTGAAATTGAGCTCAAAGTAGCAGAAATGTTCAACTTTTACCAAAATTCAAAAGTAAACAAATCATGTTGTGCATCCAATACACGTCAACTGGCGAGTCTAATATTCTTTCACAAGTGCGCTGATATTATTTATACCATTTCTACACTAATGCAGTAGTCTGCATAACAGTAAATCTTCTATAATTTTTTTTTTTTTTTTTTTTTTTTTTTTTTTTTTGTGAGAATAGTTTCAAAGTGGAAAGCAAAAGAATGTAAGAGGGGCATTTGGACGTGACTAATGAACAGAGGAAATGTTATTTTAGTGCCAGGAATGTCTTTCTTGTTTATTCTGGACCCTATTCGGAAATTGGCATCTTTTGAAATTTGTGTGAAATTGGCAAAATTGCTAAATTCTGACCACTGTATTGGATAGTTGAAATCGGTAAATGGATGGTTTCTTGTACTCGTTCGATAGAAAATACAGTGGACCCCCGCATAACGATTACCTCCGAATGCGACCAATTATGTAAGTGTATTTATGTAAGTGCGTTTGTACGTGTGTTTGGGGGTCTGAAATGGACTAATCTATGTCACAATATTTCTTATGGGAACAAATTCGGTCAGTACTGGCACCTGAACATACTTCTGGAGTGAAAAAATATCGTTAACCGGGGGTCCACTGTATAGAGTTCTAGACATAGTTATGATTTTGTGTTGACAAGTACACTGGAATTGGCTGAAAATAGGGCTCAAAGTGGGCAAAATTGCCGATGCGTAAACATCGTCGAGACCACTAACTTCACGAGAGCATAATTCCGTAAGTTTTCCATCAAATTTCATACTTTTGGTGTCATTATGATCGGGAAAAGATTCTATCTTTTCATAAGATTTTTTTTTTTTTGAAATTTGGCCGACCACTCTGAGAGGGCCTGTCGACCCTGAAAGGGTTAAATTCATTACTGCGGGTTCTCTCTTGGAGAGATACAAGAACATAAGAATGGAGGAACACTGGAGAAGGCCTACTGGCCCATACGAGGCAGGTCCTTATCAAAACGACCTCTACCTAAAGCTACCCAAGAAATAACTCCCGTACCCAATGACACCAATCAAACCCAGCCCCTCCCACTCATATATTTGTCCAATCTCTTCTTAAAGCTACCCAAGGTCCTAGCCTCTATCACCCAACTGGGAAGATTGTTCCATGCATCTACAACTCTGTTAGAAAACCAGTACTTACCTATGTCCTTTCTAAATCTAAATTTATCCAACTTAAATCCATTATTTCTGGTTCTTACCTGGTTTGACACCCTCAGTACTTTATTAATATCTCCCTTGTTTATGCCCATCATCCACTTATACACTTCAATGATATCTCCCCTCATTCTATGTCTCTACAGAGTGGAGATTTAAGGCTTTGTCTATCTTCATACGGGAGATTCCTTACACAGTAAATCATTTTAGTCATTCTTCTCTGTATGTTCTCTAATGAGTCTATATCCATCCTGTTGTAAGGGGACAAAACTGAGCAGCATAATCTAAATGAGGCCTCACTAGTGATGTATAGAGCTGTAAAATAACTTTTGGACTTCTGTTACTTACACTTCTTGAGATAAATCCAAGTAATCTGTTAGCCTTGTTATGCATACTAAGGCTGTCTTGGCTTTAGATTTCTGCTTACCATGACTCCCAAGTCTTTTCACATTCTGTATGATCAAGCTCTACTTCACCTAGATTATAGCTTCGAGGGTTATTTTCATTACCAAGGGATAGAACATCACACTTATCCACATTGAACTTCATCTGCCATTTTTCAGACCAAGACATTAATTTGTCCAAATCCTCCTGGAGTTCATTGCTATCCTCCTCAGAGTGAATTATACGGCCTGTCTTTGTATCATCAGCAAACTTACTCGTGTCGCTCGTAATCCCTTCATCAAGATCATTAATGTAAATTATGAACAAGAGAGGGCCTAAAACTGATCCTTGTGGAATGCCACTAGTGACTAATCCCCATTCAGATTTCACTCCATTAATGGTAACTCTCTGCTTTCTATTGGTAAGCCATGCCTCTATCCATGCTAGAACTTTACCTCCTATACCATGAGCTGCCACTTTTCTTAAGAGTCTCTTGTGAGGTACTCTATCGAAGGCTTTACTAAAATCCAAATAAACAATATCATATTCCTTATCACTGTCAACTGCCTCAAATGTTCTATTGAAGAACATCAGTAAATTTGTCAGGCAGGAACAACCTCTCGTGAATCCATGCTGAGATTCATTTATTAAGTTATGCTCTTCATTTATCAAGTTATGCATCCTCAAGACCTTATTAATATTCCCTTTATTAATACCTATCTTCCACTTATACACTTCGATCAGGTCTCCCCTCATTCTTCATCTAACAAGTCAATATAATTTAAGAGTCTTCAATCTTTGTTCATAAGGAAGATTTCTAATGCTATGTATTAATTTAGTCATTCTACGCTGAATGTTTTCTAATGAATTTGTCCATTCTGTAATATGGAGATCAGAAGTGAGCTGCATAATCTAGGTGAGGCCTTACTAATGATGTATAAAGCTGCAGTATAACCTCTTGACTTAAGTTGCTTACACTTATTGATATAAATCCCAATAATCTATTTGCCTTATTACGTACGCTTAGGCATTGCTGTCTTGGTTTAAAGTTGCTTCTCACCATAACCCCCAAGTCCTTTTTGCAATCTGTATGGCTAAGTTCTACATCATTTAACTTATAAGTGCTAGGGTTATGGACACTTCCGAGCTTCAGAACCTTGCATTTATCTACGCTGAACTGCATCTGCCACTTTTCTGACCAAGAATAGTTTGTCTAAATCCTTCTGAAGTTCCCTAACATCTACTTTTGAATCGATTATCCTACCTATCTTTGTGCCATCGGCGAATTTGCTCATATAAACTAGTAATACCCTCATCAAGGTCATGATATACATTATAAACAATGGGCCTAAGACTGATCCCTGTGGTACGCCACTTGTTACAGATCCCCACTCGGATTTAACCCCATTTATGGACACACTTTGCTTCCTGTCTGTGAGCCATGACTCGATCCACGAGAGCACCCTTCCCCCAGTGCCATGAGCTGCCACTTTCTTTAACAGTCTTTGGTGCTGAACTCTATCAAAAGCCTTACTAAAATCTAAGTAAATAATATCAAATTCTTTATCGTGATCAACAGCCTCAAAAGCTATACTGAAGAAAGTTAAATTAGTTAGACAAGAACGGCCTCTCGTGAATCCATGCTGAGTATCATTTATTT